AATTTATTTGGATGTTATTTACATTGTGCGAGCTGTCTCTTTAATACCATGTGGTTTACATACATGTTGCTGCTGATTGGGCTGACATGTTTGACACACCCACCAAACAAGAGAAAACGTATCTCAAACCCCATTGCACACCGTTGCACACCGTTTCCAGGAAACATGTCGTTCAAACCGGAAACCGTAGCAAAACGGTGCACACCGGTTTGAGCTTGAACTTGCCCCAGGTGAGTGGCAAGAGGGATGCTGGGAAATGTAGTGCAGATATGGCTCAGCTGGTGACTGTGACTGTGGGGCATGAACTGCATTTTTAATGCATGTTAAAGATTTTTACATCAAAAATGGTCATAATTCAGAAATAAAAGGACATTTTCTACCCTGATTTTAGCCCTCTGATTTGACCGCTCTGTTAGAAGGAAGGGGCGTGTCTACTGTGAGACTTTAATGGAAACACCCATTGCTACAGTATGACTGGCTAACATCTTTGCATAGGAAATAAGTATTACATATGGAGCTCTCTTAAAAACTTTTACTATATTTTTACTATTACAGCTGTTGAGATGAACTAATTGATTATAGCATTCCCGTTGCATGAAAGGTTACAGCGATGAGCATTGTAGCTCATTGCAACTGAAGTTCTGCAGTTTCACGAAAGCTTTCATCATAACTAACAGTGCAAACACGATGTAAATAAGAGATTCATTGTGCAGTGTAGATTGAGTCAGTGAATATAAACTCATGCTGTGTGACTGACAGCTCCAGCGATTATAAAGGGAGCGCTCTTTGATCGCTTTCTATAATTTAAGATTAGGCATTAGAATGAACACGATTACTTATATGTTGTCGTATTACTGTCAGGTCCATAACTTTCAGTAAAAGTCTGTTTGCAAAGCCTGCGCCGAAACTGCGACTGATTTACCAAAGAATCCACAGTGAAATGTACTAAACAAACTACTGAACATAGTAATAATCACTTTCCTAGAATTAGGATCCTTTGGAAGGCCATGTTTTGTTGTTGTTGTTGTTGTTGTTGTTTTTAAGTCCAGTGATCCTGTATTGCTCTTCTCTCCTCATCTCACTAATGCTCCAGTGGGCGGGGCTAAACAGCCAGTGATGTAGAAGCAGGTGTTGATCTTCTTCTGTGGACGCGGTGCTTATCCACACTATTACATCATAGAGTTAAACATTCCAAAAGCTGTCGTTTTGGCAGAGTGCCTTCAATACAAGCTCTTTTTAGACTAACAAGAAATTTTTGAGTTCTGCTACTTACAGGATATTTTCATATAACACTAACCTCTAATATGTCAAAACACCAAGGGAATTTTGGTTTCTCTGTTCGTGACCCCTTAAAAAAAGCAGCCCCTCAGAACTAAAAGAGATCCCAATTGTGGATCGTTTACTTAGACGAATCAGAAGAGAACTTGTGAGATAGCAAACACTAAATTAAACATTTCTCCTTCAGCCTTACAGGAATGAAAGTAATCTAAATGACTAATGTTGACTGATCTCAAGGAGTTAATTGAGATTCCTTATAGTCATTTCCTTCTGAAGCTGAGGCTGAGAAACCCTGACAAATAGCATTAATCCGTCCTTCCATTCACACTGCTGTGGTATAACTACCGATCCGATGCTCTGAGAACAGAATATGGCCTTTGGTTCTTGTCCTGTCTTGGGGTGATCTGAACTTGACCTTTCCAGCCCTCCACACACTTGCAGACATTCCGGAAGCCGTTGTTTTAGGAGGTGCCTGATGGCTGTTAACAGAGACACAATGGTGGGAGTGTGTCTAAGATAAATGTTTTGAGAGCAGGCCGGGGAGTTTGCATTTAGCCGGTTCTTCCCTTAGAATATTACCCTCAATTATTGGACATTTACACTTTCCATTTAGTCATATGTTTAAAATGTAATTGTCTCCTCTTATATTGCTTGTCCTGAAACGGACAACTATACTTTAGTGGTCTATTCTCATACTTTCACCGTTTTTGCCATTTCAGTCTAATAGTTTGCTTCCTTATTAAGAAACAACACTATTGCGCTTTAATACACCTGCAGTATTTCTCATATGGATGGACAAGATTTAGCTTGGCCATAGTGTTTTGGTTCCTCCATGTAGAAGATTTCTGATGGAAGTGAACTAAAAAAATGGCATGCTTTTCATTTGAGGTTATCAATGAGAGCTCCCAAGTGCTGTGCTTTACCTGTTTGATATATCACTAGGTTAGTTATAATCTAAAAATACACATACCTTGACATTTACGTTGAAGACGTAATCAAAACCCTTCTCTTTATTGAGGTCCAGAGAGCCAAAGTAAATGATGATGCAGCTTATCGCATCTGCTGCTGGGTTTTGCCGCAAAAACAGGACTGTATTTTACTTGCATGTGACATTTATTGTTCACTAACTCTTTGCTTCACATTTAACAGGCCCATCCATGTGGCAGTTGACGTTATTTGGTTGTTTAACTTGGCTTACTATTCTGGCTTTTGGCATTGTTAAATTTATAATTTTTTTATATTGCCATTCAGAATTTTTATTTTCTGATCAAGCATTGTTAGTGATTTAGTTTGTACTGTTGAAGATCACACATCTCTTTCTGGCCACAGGGTTACATTAGGTCCTTTTAAATGTTATGATTTTCAATTACTACTACAAATAAGATACATTTAATAATAATAATACATTTTAAAGTAAATGATCAATTAAATAAATCATATATAAAAGTATTATATATTATATAATTATAGTTACTGTATTTATAACTATGTCCATTCATACGAGCAATATTACAGGTGCATAAGCTGTAAAGTTGAAAGCATTTGTAAATATATACAATAAAACAATTCAAGTGCATCTTAGAATTGATTTTGCTACTATTTATGGACATTTTTACTATTGTGCCACAATATAATTGATTGAATTGATATTATTTCTATACATTTTGCTGGTTTTTTTTCTAAAAATAATATTTAATAATATACATTTAATAATATTTAAAAGATCATATTTGGAATCAAAAATAAACACTGAGTTCATGTATCATTAAATATGTTCATTTATGAGAATCATAATATATTAGTATGCATTACGGGACAATACACAGCTTTTGCAAAGTACACAGTAAAACATCATATACAGGAGGACCATGAACATTGTAAATGTCTTGGAGTCTGTTCAGAGTCATTTTCCAAAATGTCTGGAAAACTGGTCAAAGTCTACTTGTGAGGTCAGGGTTTCTCCAAAGAACTAGACCATCTGTGAGTTTTAATAAACCATTGCCACTTTAATAAACCAAGCCACTGACTTTCAGTTCATAGGCACTGTCGTAGTTTCAGAGCTGGACAGTGACTGAATGTTAAAGTGTGTGTGTGTGTGTGTGTGTGTGCATTTTCCTGTCACACAGACATAGTACAACCATCTCACTACACTACCAACTCATGTAAACAAAGAAATTCTAAAAAAAAAAACATTTTCTTATTTTCAGAATATCAAGTTCATGGCATAAAAAAATGGTTAATTGCATGTGAATATAATCTACTAAATATTGTAAAAAAAAAAAAAAAAAAAACTATACAACTATACAAAAACAGTAGAGCATATCACCTTAGTAAAGTACCAGAACAAAGAAAGGTACCACATAAGTGATAACACAGAAAATTATTTGTTTCTCTAAATAATAAGAGCCATTTTTATCCGATTTATTTTGGTGGATGAAACCTTGCGTTTGCATACACTGGTAAATATAAACCATTCAGGCTTGTGTACACTGTTTTTTTTTTTTCTCATATCCTCCATCACTTTATCACTAAACCTTAGCAATGACATACAGAATGTCTCAAATTTAGTATAAATTTCACCAAACTCTAGTCATCTTGATGTCTCGAGGAACATTTCAGATTTGATTTTTCACTCTTAATGATGAGCGTTTTAAATACTATATCTGGGAAGTCTTTATAAATATAATAAGATTATTCTTATTATAATTGTGACCTACATTTTTTAACAGTGAAAAGGGAACTTGTTCATAAAGAAAAAACACTTTCTTTCCAATTCAAAAATCATAAAGTGGTTAAAAACAATACTCTATTTTTATAACTAAACTCAAACTACAACTAGTTATGGAACAGAAGGTAGATCACCACAGCTCGTATCAAAGGCCAAAAGTGTCGGCATAGCTTTTGGCACCAAATAAACATTATGATGTCATTATGATGTCATGCAATTTTGAACCAATCACAATTCTTCTGAATAGCAAGAGTGAGGTATTGTCAAAATATTTTCTATCTGAGAGGAAGGAACGTAAAGGATGCTATGTGTAATTTTGGCAAGTACTGGCTTAACAGATCTTTTTTTTATGATTCTATCATAATTGCGCAACTGCTACCTTTTTAATCAAACTCTAAATAATGTACAGTGGGGCCCAAAAGTCTGAGAGCATTAATGACATTTTTCTAATTTAGAACAAAATGTTTAATTTAAAAAAAAAATATTAGCATCATAATATTTTGAGTGGGAAATTTTTATTTTATTTTATTGATTTTATTTTTGGAGATTTCTGCTCAGAAGGTGGGGGAATGGGTTTGGGACATGATCAACAAACATAGCCCTGTTGATTCAAAACTCCACTGCACCACAGGTCATATAATTTTTAGTAATACATTTGAAAAATTATAAATATTTTGTCATTGGAATGCATCTTTGTTATTATATAATGCTGAAGTCAAATGATCTGGGTTAAACTTTATTATCAATATACAGGTGCATCTCAATAAATTAGAATGTCGTGGAAAAGTTCATTTAGTCTTCAGCTTTCTGTTTTCAATCCAGATTATCAGTGTGACCCCAGAGTTTTGGACCCCACTGTTTGTACTTTGAAATGTTGACCGCCAACAAACTTCTTCTGAAGGAAAACATTCACGTAGATAAACTGACTCAGTAGCTTGTTTCTTTTTTACCTTTTGTGGAAAAAGACAGAAATCATAAAGAGACACCAGAAAAGATCACACATAAACGACTTTACATATACGTATACTTAATAGTAGGTGCAAATTCTGCAAAATTGAAGATATGAAAAAATAAAATCTTGATGGGAAAAAAAACGCTAAACCACGGAAGGCAAAACTGCACAACTGGTTGTCCTTCACCACAGTTCTGATCAATCGTCAATCAATCTGCTCTTCATTATTTTTTCTTTCCTTCTCTCCTGATCTCTCTGTTTTTCCTCCATGTTTTTTCTAGCACTTGCCCCTCTTGTCACGCTGCTGGAATTTCCTGAGCCGACGGGCCCACAGGTCCTTCCACGGGATGAGCAGGCTGCCTTTGTCCGCCACCACGCCGCTCTGACCGCGGGAGTCATCGTCGTCAGAGCCCATCAGCAGGTACTTCCGTCCCGGTTTAATTTTGGGGCATTTGCAGGCCACATCTTTAGCGCGCACCCACAGGAGCTGGTCTCCTCTGCGAATGCGATGTCCGCCCTGCTTATAGACCGATATGATGTTGATAGTGAATTTCCACCATTCGCCCGCCTTATCTCCTTTTAGCACGTGAATCTGGACAGCTGCAGAGAAAACAGTCAGATTAAAAGATGTTAGAGGACACATTCACAGAAACAAAAAAAAAAGTTATATATGAAATAAACAAGTTGTAAGATAAAAGTTGTAAGTTTTATTTTAAATGATTTATATATATTGTTGTTGTTAATAATAATAATAATTATTATTGATTTCTAAATTGACATTATTATTGAATTATTAAATGACTTCTCTTTCAACCGTTAAAATAACTTCTCTTTTTGACCACAATTTAAGTAGCCATAGAAACTCCTTCCTTCCATCTTCTGATACTGATAAAATGGAAAATTGGAGACCAACCCATTCCGTTCTCTTCATTATCTTTTCTGTGAAACTTCAAGCTTTTTTGTAACTTTAAGACGTTTATCTGAGTACCACCCATAGAAAAAAAAACAAAAACTGGAATTTCTTTAATAAGTTGTTTCATTTAGACAGCAATGAGATCAAATGGAAAGCAGATGGAGATATTTCCTGAAGTCTCCTGTATTTTAGTTATTTGTCTTTTTTTAACATTTTCATAAGCATTTTTATTTAATGTCATTTAATTTCATTTGACTTCATTTTAATTTAATTAATTTCATTTAATTCTTAATTTTTATGTAAATGGTATTGTTTTAATTAACCTTAAAAATTAAGAAACAAAAACAAAAAAAACAAAAAAGTTTTTGAACAAAAAAGGATAAGATGCAATAAATATAAATATATAAACAAAAATATGCAAAAAAACTAATAATTGAACTCGTATACTAAAACTTTCAAAACCTTTTTTTATCTAATTTCATATAAGCATAATAATTTGTAATAATAATACTGTAATAATAATAATTTGAATAATCCTTTAAAATCCTAAAGCTTTTAAAGGTTTTCATTAAAAAAAAAAAAACAATCCAGTGTCCATGAACTGGACACAGTTTACTAAGTATCTACAACTACGGTGCAAATGGAAAAAGTCCGACATCAGATGTCAATGTCCAGTCCATGTGGTAACCGCTAACAAACGCAGAGATCCCCGCTGGTCACACCATTTTAACACCATCATCAGACTCACAGATTGCCAGCTAATCTGTACTTGACGTGAAGTGGTTTCACACGGGGAGGACGCCCAGAGGGAGAAAAAATGACCTCTATTACACATTTAGACCCGGTGTGTAACGGCGAGGCATGGCTGTGCCGCCCTGAAACACTCACACACACCCTGCGGCCAGTAACCCGTGAACCAGTGGCACGTCATGTTTAAGAAATATGCCATTACAGCATTGTGTGAAAATGACACAGGAAGTGCTCTTTCTTTCCTAGCGCTCTTTCTTTTCGTTCTTGAATGTGAACACTCTCTTTAGAGAGGGAGGCAAGGATCGCCCCCATCGCTGAAAGGATGGTCCCAATTGAGCAGCAGGGGGGGAGGCTGTGAGCAAATTGCACCCAATTTGCAAGAACGCACTCCCACAGGCCCGCCATTCATCGCCTGTGTTTCTCTGGGCCGGAGCCCGCTCGCCATCCAAATAACAAGAGATAAAAAGAAAAGAAGGGTGTGCAGAGGGTAGCGCGGCCCAGAGAGGAGGGGGGCCGCTGTTTATCATCCCAGCCACAGAGAAGGTGGCAGAAGAATGGCGGATGTGTTTGGAGCTCATGAGCTATCCGAGCCCGGCCAGCGTGAGAATCCCGCTCCGGGTCTCGCTCTTGACCTGCTCTCGCTTCTCCACGGCAGCGAGTCGAAAACTGACTCAAAATGTGCTATTGGGCTTCTTGAAATAGTTGAAAACAATCGCTTTGACTTATTAGAGGTGTTTGCGGATTTCTGCTCGTACATGTTAAACGTCGCCGCATAGCTTGTCCGGTTTAGAATTATGTTTTTTTTTTTTGGTAAAATTGTCTAATAAGTGCTATTTTGAGAGAGAAAACTAGGTCATATTCATGATCAAGAAAGCAAACACCTAGAAACCACCCAGAACACCTGAGCAACCACTTTACAGCCACCTAGAACACAATAGCAATACTCTGGCAACCACTCAGAAAACGTTAATCTGGATTATGTAATCAGATTCCAAAAATGAAGTACTTGTAATTGGATTACATTACATTTTAAAATACTTGTAATCAGACTACAGTTACTTTTTTATGGATTGCATGATTACATATTATTCACACAGTAGCAATACATTTTTCCAAATGTATTGATTCTCCCTAATTCCTCTTTTTCATCTTTTAATGAGTTAGGTCAAAAGTAATCTAAAAGTAATGAAAAACTAGTCAGACTACCTAATAATAGACTTATCTAATATGGGTAATCCAGACTACTGAATGTTGCTAACTACAGTTTTCGTCATGTAATTTATAATCAGTAACAGACGGCAGTTTCTAAGTAATCTACCCAGCACTGCTTGTCAACCACCCAGAACACTTAAGCAACATCCTGGCAACCACAAAGAATATGTTAGCAACCACATAGTAGAATCCTGGCAACAACACAGAATGCTGTACATTAGCAACTACATAGAAACATCTTTAAAGGGGTCATATGATGCTTTTTTAAAGATCATTATTTTGTGTATTTGGTGTAACAGAATATGTTGACATGCTTTAATGTTCAAAAAACACATTATTTTTCAAATACTGTACATTATTGTAGGTCCTATATGCCCGGCCTCTCTCAAACGCTTCGTTTTCTACAAAGTCCCTCCTTCCGACAAGCGCTTATCTATGTGCAATCAGCTTGTAACACTCCAAAGAGAAAGAAACTTGAAATTGCATCATATAACCCCTTTAAACTACACAGAATACATTAGCAACCACAAAGCATTGTGTATATTGCATTGCATATATTGTATAACCTTTAAACAAACACATTAACACAAGGCCAACCTACCAACCAACCTAAATGCTTAGTGCTGAAAATATATTAAAAGTGATGTCATCACTGTTTGTTTTACACATATAAAGTGTGCGTATATTGAGAATGTGTTACTGTAATATATCAAATCTTTCCCCCTCTCTCTGCGTGACGCTTTAATGCTGTGATCACTGGCACTGGTTTCATCAAACCCTGCCAAACGGGCACAATTCCTGTCTGAGTGCAGCCCTGAGCCACAGATACGCCATGCGGGTGGCAAACGCTTTCCAGATTTGTCCAGGTATTGAGAAAGACTCCCAGTGAGGGTTTTTCTTCGGCAAATGAAAGGTTTTGTTTATACATGTTAGTAGGTTAACTTTGTTTCTGCCCATGTTACAGCTGTAGAGAGAAAATTGGACAGAGAAAGGCAATCTCTTTAACAGACAGTTTCTCCCCAGTAAACTCAAGATGCGTGTCTCTTTTGGAGTTTCATACATTTTTTGTATGATTATATATATTTACCAAGATACCAGATGAGAAGAATTCATACGATATTAAAACAACGGTAAACTATGAGCATGCGTGTCAGATCCATGCCACGTTCAGCAGCGGCAGCTCTTTATATAAATAAAGGTAAAATAATTGTAAATTATTGTAAAATAACCTAATAGCACAGCTGCTGTGATATCTGTTAATTAAAGAAAAAAAGAGGAAATCAATAGTTTTTTAGCTTTAAGGATTACTATATTTACTTTAGAATTTAGAGTTTGATAACTTTATCCAATTTCTGTATATTTCCTACTTGCTGAAGGGCACAGGTAAATATGACATTTATTATAATGGGTTTAAGTGAAGATTGTTGTAAGTTCACTTAAATTAGAAGTTTTTATTTTTTAAAGTCTAGTAACTGTTTAAATTGATATCTCTCATTTATACTGTAATATAGAATGTTATAGTCAATGGTTAAATACTAGGGAAAAAAGAACAATTCCCTAGAGACATCCGTATTGGTATCAGTGATACTCGCCTTCAGTTGTAAAAATAGATGCCATTAAACAAATATTAAAATATTCGGTCTTTATGTTGTTTTTACATTAATTTGAAGATTGAATGTGAAATTATTGCAATATAAAAGTATATTTAAAAACTTTAATGTTAGGTGGGATTAATCACGATCATTAATCATGATTAATTTCAGAAAAAAAAGGTGTGATTAATTAGTTACTTTTTTAATCGATTAACAGCACTATTTTGGATATGATTTTATTACTCAGAATTTGCTCTTTCACAGGACTTCATAGAGTTTCAAGGTTTCATTTAAGCCTAGTTGAATTTTCATCAGTTTTTAAAGATCAGTAGTTTAATTAAATACAACTAGTTCTTCAATATCAGTTCAAACATTTCTCATTTCATTCTTCCAAAATCACCTTCAAGACAAAAATAATCAAAATAGTAAAGCTGCTATGATTTTTTTGATAATTTTTATAAACTTTTATAAAACATTTTGTGCTTACATGCTTATAAATGCTTGTATATCATATATTTTATCTATTTATATATTTTTATATTTTTTTTAATTATTTTTTAAAATTAATTTTATAGCTCTTTACTCTTAGAGCATTTCAACAGTTCTGTCATTTGGGTGTTATTTTTTTTTCTCTAAACATATTTAAGTTAACAAAGCTGATATAAATTAAATTAAACATGTTTAAACATTAATGAAAACTGAATGAGACTCCAGTAAGTCTGAACAGAGTCAGTGAGCAACATGAGCAAATTTGGGTTGAATTTGAGCAATAAAATGTTCATTTCTCAGCATGAATTATTGTAATCATTTCTATTTATGGCTAACTGACATAAAGCTTTCACCTGCTGTGGTGTGACATGCCATCCACCCGACATTACTTTAAACCCCATTTTGTTAAACTTTTATAATTATTATGCATACTGGCTGCCTTCATGACCTCATATTAATTGATTAACATGTAATATTTGCATTTAAAAATTAATTTGTCCCACTGCAGGTAAGTTGAAATGTACAAGTGAAGACCAAAAAAACTGATTAAGAATAATGAAAAAATTCTACATTTTCCCTGATACATTCATAAAATATATATGCAGATATCTATATCCTGATATATCATGGTGATAACATAGAAT